TGTACCCTGCAAAATTACTCTTTCAAAATTGATGGAGAAATAAGATACTTCCATAACAAAGAAAAAATGATGAAATTAATGTTCACAAAGCCAGCACTCCAAAATGTTCTTTAGGACATTCTACAAAGAAATAAGTAGAACAACAATTTCATGAACATGACTGGAAAAAATTCACAGGCAAGGCAAGAAATTTAAAAAGAGTGAAAGACAGGAAAACAGTAACAACAATAGTATACAGCAAGGATAAGCTAATACATATCAGTTAAACCCTCAACATAAATGGTCCCAATTCACCAATCAAAAGAAACAGACTGACAAAATAAATCAAGAAGCACTATCTAATTGTGTTTTGCAATGAAGTAACATTTAATTCAAAAAGAAATTGATAGACTGAAAGTGAAAGGATGTAAAACAGTAGTTCATGCAAGAAGAACCTGTAAGAAGCATGGGTAGCTATTTTATTTGAAGACAACTAGAACCTCCAGCCAAGAATGATCAAGACATAAACAAAGTTATTACATGCTTGTTAGTATACTGAATCTTTTGATGTGACAAAAAGATGTTAAAACATCTAAGTCCCAGTAAAATTCCCCAATATTCTACAATGCTTAATGTTTCTCATACTGATACAGAAAAGTTAACTTCTCAAAATGTGTACTGATTGGTTCCAAGCATACTGACATATGTTGAAAAGAGTGAGGTGAATTCCCTTTGCATTTTTCTTCTTACATCAAATGTGATGTGGGAAACTCAATGAAATATTTAATGAAGGGCCAACTGTGCACTTAAATTTCAACTAAAAGGGAAGTGGAAGACAAATTTTATGTTAAGAGAAATTTATTTTAGCAGATGACTGGTGCAGACCAGGACATATCATGAGAACTCTTACAGGGTTAGCAGAGAAGAAAAATGGCAATTGTACTTTGATGAATCTGGACCAGAGAAGGCAATGAGCAAATATTTTTTAAAAAGTTTAAATGTTTAAATTTTTAAATTTGGATAGAACATAATTGACTCAGTTAAAACTACATCAAAAATAGTTTCATTTCTCCATTTTACTTATTTTTATTTAAAAAAAAAAATAAAACTAAATGAGAAAAAAACCAAAAAATGAAATGGGGTCATTCAAACAAGAGAATGGACATAGTACATGATTTAAAACCACAATACAAGGTGATCTATAATGACAACCATGATGTCTCTTGTTTATCTTCAACCAAATTGCCTATATCATCAGGTACAATACAATTGAATACAGCAGTACAGAAGAAAGTCAATAAAAACTAAACATTGGAGACATTGTAGGATTTCAAAGGAGAATAATTGTCAAACCAGAATGGGTATTGTGGTCAATCTTATTGTCTTCAGGGTAGTTGCCTATACTCTCAGACTTGATACTATCAAACATAACAGATTTCTTAAAAATCAGTCAGACAACACAGCAATCCAACAAGACAGATTCAAATAAAATCAGTCAAAACAAGGCAGTGAAAGCAGTACCTGGTTTCAAATTAAGTTAATAGGAAATTAAAAATTGTTACCATAGTATATCCTGCTATCTTTGGAATAGCTGCATACGCCCTCAAATCTAGTACAAGTAGACAAACTGGAAGAGAATATAACCAAACTAAGCAGAGCAATGAAATCAATATGAGTTTAAAATCATGATACAAGATTACCATTGTCCTCTGCCTTTTCTGTTTAGACAATTCCTCCCCTTTCACTTTCCCAAGGTGCATTGTACATTTTGTATCCCACTAACTCCTTTAGTTTTTAGATTAGGGAGGCAACCGCTATTTACCTAAGTGGTTCTGAACCTTTTTACCCCTGAGCTTGGTCTCAAGTTGTATCCATTTACCTACAAGAGCCTCAAGGTTTTCCTTCCTTATACCTGAGTAATTCTTCACTGCTCAGTACTGTTATGTCTTTCCAACCAATCTGTAGCTGATGGATGAGCTACATCCACTTTTTTCTGGTTCTCTGTCACATAGAGCATTATTTTGTCATCTTTGGCTTTCAGCCCATAAACTTCTTTCAGATTAAATGTATTTTTGTACAGAGCATCTTGAGTGACTCTATCTCCTAATCCGCTCTATCTGTATTTCTTTTTATTAGTGTATCGAGGCCATCCATGTTAGTGGCTGTGGCCAATCTTCTCTGCCTCATCTCTGCCATGCAATTTTTCTGCCAGTGGTTGTCTACTTTTGTCCTTCACTATCTTCCCTATTCAATGAGCCTCCTCTGTCACTGTTCTTGAAACCATGGTTCAGTTCCTCTTGTCATCTTCTCACCTTTGTATTGTTACTTCCTGGTTCTTTGTTATTTTTAAGAGATCTTTCCTTTTGCAATTGCAAGCTGCAAAGCACTCTTCAAAGTCTGAGAGTCTTTCTTTAGCTTCTTTCAAGAAGTTCTGCCAGCTTTCAATGGAGTTTTTAATTTCCTGGTACTCTCTTTGAATCTGCTTCATATATTCTAAATTTTTTATGTTCTTCATTGAAGGTTTCCCTCATTTTTCTGTGCTCCTCTAATTTTTCACCTGTGTCTTCTTTAGAGGTGTTTAGCAATTCATTTTTATGTTTCTTATATCTTCCTGTATCTGTAATAGTATTTCTTTTCTAAGTTCTTTTAAACTTCATGAAGTTGTTTCTTTTTTTGAGTTGTTGTTGCTTCAGAAACTGCTGGTGTGTGACTCTTGATTTCTTCTCTGTTTACATCTTCTGGACCAGTATTGCTTGGGTTGGAGCCCAGAGACTGCCTTTTGATTCTTCTTCTTTTCATGTCCTGGGTTCTTTCAAGACTAGTGGATAGTGGGGTCCCTAACACTTCCTGTATTGGTTATTATTACTCTGAAGTATGTTGGCTAGGGATTTCTGCTGTCTTCTACATTTCCCAGTCTGCTGGTGACTACTGGAATATAAACAGGGGCAGAGCAGGCTGGCCTCTCCCTTCCGAGCTGGTCAACCACAGGACATCTTTACCACATTAGTTTGTGCCAGGTGGTTGGGGATGATTATGGATGGCTTTAGGGAAACCTTGATGGTGGCTATTGGATCACACAGAGGTGGGACTCAGTTCAAGCAATTTCCACCAGTATGCTCTTCATTAGAAGTGGCTGAATGAATCCACCTGTAGTTTGGGTTCTAACTTGTCCTGTCTGACTCCAAAATGGTGCCTGGCCAATTGTCCACTCCTGTGGAAGGACTGAGTCCCCCACACTCACTGCCAGCCAGTGCAGTTCTCTGGACGCCACTCTTCTCACCACTGCATCTCTATGCCAAGATCTTCAGGCTTGCCAGCCACCAGCGTCACTGTGACTGTGCATCTCCAGATTCCAGTGGCACTTCTCACACAATGGGACCAGCTCCGGTGAAAACGCCACCATCTACCGCCTTCTGTATAAGTTTTTCTTTTTTCTTTTTTAAAAAACTCTCTGTATTCCATTCTTACAAGTTGAGGTTAAAAAAAAACTCTCTGTTGTCTTTAATTCTCATTTTAGTTTCTTCCTGGGTTGAGGAGGCCCGCTTCTTTCATTCTTGACTTCTCCAAAATGCTATATTTCAGCATCTGGGCTGTTTTTTAACATAGAGGCTGTTTACTTTGCTGCTTACCACCATCCTCCCAGACTCAACAATTATACTTTTGGAAGAATTTCTAAAATTTGGAAATCTTAAAAGGTAAGAAATACCAAGAAATTGATCATAGAAAAATGCTAGAATTCTAGGCCCTACATTTCTAAGCACTTCAGAAATATATGAATATTTTTTTTATTATTTGTTTGTAATTTATGGTCTTAAATAATATGAATACAATGCTTGACAAAACAATTGGGTTGTACAACAGAAAGCTTGGTTGGTAGAACTAAATGCATGGTCATTTTAATGTTAAATACCATGTTGGCAAAATAAAGTAAAAACAGAAATAAACTCTATGGAATAAAGCACAGTGTACAGTAATGAGAGCATATGTTTAAAATAAAAAATATTAAACAAGCACAAGTATAGCCAAAACTTCATTCAACTTTGAGTCAATAAATATTTTCTTATAAAACATAAAGTATATGGAAATTTTACAGCTGAAACTATTTTCTTTTCTTTTTTTTTTTTTTTTTTTTTTGTCTTTTTCCTTTTTTTATCGGTACCGGGGATCGAACCCATGACTGCCTGATTGCAAGACAGGCGCTTATGCTGCTGAGCTAAATCCCCAACCCTGAAACTATTTTCATATTAACACCTAATTTAAAATCCAGAGCTAAATATGAGGAAAAACTTTCATGTAGTATTTTTGTGTGAATAATATATATAAAACAGAATATAAAATTTTAATATGACACATTACAAAAAGAAATATAAATAATATAAATGGAAAAATTTAGTCAACCTCTGAGAGAAAAATTCACAATGATATACTATCTAATTATTGTCTAAGAAGTGACAAAATTTCACTGCCATTGTAAGATCAAGAGTATCTGTCATCATAGATGATGTGCCAGTTGTGATATACCAGTTTAAAGGTAACATGAGAGAGAATTGCTGCAGATATGCTTTCGGGAATACCGAAAGGCAAATACCAAATCAGTTACCAAACTATAGTCAGAATATTTGTAGCACACTAATTCTTGGGGGCGGGGGGGAATCTTACTGAAATAAATTATAAATTCATAAATAATGACCTCTGTGGAAAAATTTCTATATTAATAATTTGTAAAACTCATTGAGAGTGTAACTTGCATACAAAATAAAAGTAAGCAATGCAATCAAACTTAAATATAAATACTTAGACTGATTATAGATTTTATGAGGGAAAGAAATCTCAGGATTTTTATTTAAAGAGGAAAGGTAATCATTATAAGATATAACTAAATTGAGCCTATTAGAGAATAATGTAAAAGCAAGATTTTACCTGAAGTAAATTCTATGTTGTAATCAAATCACTACCATAAAACAGTGATGTAGATGTTCCCCAGAAACCTATGTATTTTAGGAAAAAAACTGTATTTTAATTTAAGAAGGCTTCTTCCTACCAGAACGTGTCTTATTCCTGAAGTTGTTCAGAGAATTCCTATCAAGCCTCAAGAAAATAATATAGCACTTAGGGCCAAAGATACAGCCCAGCAGCCCTGCACTGGAAATCAAGATGGAGAAGACCTCCATGGCCACCATCACCTTCCCCTTGCTGCTGTGGTACACAGGAAGGAAGGTGACCCACACACTGCAGAACACCAGCATGCTGAACGTCAGGAACTTGGCCTCATTGAAGGTGTCAGGCAGGTTCCTGGCCAGGAAAGCCACAGTGAAGCTGAGCAGGGCCAAGGAGCCCAGGTATCCCAGGACACAGTAGAAGGCAGTGAGGGAGCCCTTGTTGCACATGATGATGATGTGGCCATGTTCAGAGTGTGCATCTGTGTCAATGTAGGGTGGACTTGTCCCCATCCAGACTCCACAGAGGGTGAGTTGAATCAGGGAGCAGATGGGGATGATGTAGTTAGGTGCCCCTGATACCAGCAGCTGCCTCATCCTTCTGCCTGGAGCAGTGACCTTAAAGGCCAGCACGACAGTAACAGTCTTGGCCAAAACAGTGGAAACAGCCACAGTGAAGACAACTGTGAATGTGGTCTGCCTGAGGATGCAGCTGGCTGTGTTGGGACGGCCAATGAAGAGCAAGGAGCAGAGGAAGCAGAAGGTGAGGGAGATGAGCAGGGTGTAGCTGAGAGCCCGGTTGTTGGCCTTGACAATGGGAGTGTCTCGGTGCTTCACAAAGAGCCCAAGAACAACAGCTGTGAGAACAGTGAAGCTCAAGGCTGTGCCAGCCAACATCTTCCCCAAAGGGTGTTCATAAGCCAGAAAAGTCACAGACTTTTGGAGGCACTGGATTCTCGCAGTGTTAGCATACTGGTGGTCTGGGCACTTCACACACTGCTCCATATCTAATAAGAAATTTAAATTGTCATTAGTTAAGCTTCATTATGTCTTCCTTGTTCACTGATACACTCTCAGAATCTCATAGTTCTTCTTCAGCCAATTTACCTATTTTTGTTTGTCTTTTCCTAAGAATTTTAATTGTTTTCTTCCTCTTTTTTAGTGAGATTGAATTTAGGATGTTTCACTGACCTACATTCCTTGTCCTTTCTATTTTATTTTATTTTATTTTATTAAGAGAATAAAACCAGAGAAAATGAAACAGAATAAAACCAATTTAAATACACCAGTATGAGTGATACAGGACTTCAAAACTTTACAAAACTAACAATAGTTACCATAATGCCTTTTTGTCTTCAAAATAGCTGCAGATTCTTTTGGAAGTGGGAAAAATTGAACAGAGCACAATAGATTAGCAACAATAGAGCTGAAACAGTGAATGTGATAAGGAACTTCAAAACAAGCCACTAGTAAATCCAAAATGGCCACCACAATACTTCTTGTTATCTTTCAAATAGCTTCTCCTGCCATCAGGTTTAACATAATCAAACAAACAAAAGAGAATGAACACCAATCCAAAATGAAAGTGATATGGTTTCCCAGCTGGGAGCACTTCTGGGTGAGGCCTGGATCTCTCCCCATGCAGACCTAGAATGGCGCTGACTCACAGAGAGAAGTTTGCCGTGGTCTTGCTCACTCTGGCAGCAGCTGGCAGATGGCACTGCTTTCCAGGAGGGGATCACCTGCTGGTGAGACCCTTTTTAAATATTTTTTAAATTTAATTTCATTTGTTTTTAATTTTTATTTTTTAAATTTTATTTTAAAAAAGAGAGAAGTCAGAAGTTAAAAACAAAAAGCAAAAGGCATAAACAGCAACAGAAAATTCAAAACAATAGCAATACAGGTCTTCAAAACAGAATGAAAGAAATTTAACAATGACTGTTGTATTGCATATTGTTCACTTTTTTTCAAATAAAGAGACGAATACTGAAGAAAATAGAAAAGCAGAAAAGAAGTGTAGAACAATGCCAAATTTAAAAAATTATCATCATAGAATTGCTAGTTGTTATATTTCTCATTGTAGTCTTAAAGAACAGTTGCCAAAGTCACAAAATCAAAACGTAAGTAGTGCCTAGACACTCAAACATTGATAGTACAAATCCTTCTGTTCAATGCTCCAATAGAAATTCAGTAATATGGTCATCTATCTTACACACTGTACATACCGTTATACTCTTTAGAGCACTTTCCTTCCCTTTCGCTTTCGCAGTATCTATTATACTTTTTGGGTCCCATTATTCTGTCAGTTTTTATTGTTTCTTACACTAGAGAGACAATGTGATATTTCCTCATGTGAGTCTTGTTAATTTCACTAATGAGGATATTTTCAAGTTGTCTCCATTTACCTATATAGGCCTCAAGTTCATCCTTTTTATAGCTGAGTAGTACTCCATTGTATAAAAATACATTTTTTCATCCACTCTGAAGTTGATGGGCATTTTGGTTGTTTCCAAGATTTAGCTATCACAAATTGTGTTGCTATGAACAAGGGTGAACATATATCTTTGTGACATGACCTTTTCAATTTTTCTGGGAAAATACCCAGGAGGGGAATCACTGGATTTAATGGAACTTCCAATCCCAGCTTTTTTAGGAATCTCCAAACTGTTTTCACTAGTCTGCACTCCCACCAACAGTGGAGGAGAGTTTCTTCTTCCCCACATCCTCACCAGCATTTATTATCAGTTGTTTTCTGGATGGCAGCCCTTCTTTCCATGGTGAGATGAAATCTCAGTGCTGTTTTAATTTGCATTTCTCAAATGACCAGTGATGGTGAACATTTCTTCATTTATGTATTTGCCATTTGTATATCTTCACCTGAGAACTATATATTCATCTCTGATGCCCGCTTTTGGAGAGGGCCTTTGAATTTGGGGGGCTTAATGTTTTTCAGCTCTCTATATGTTCTGGATATAAGTCCTTTGAGGACTTGTTAGCTAAACTTCTTTCCCATTCTGTGGGTTTTCTTTTCACTTTGTTGGTGATTTCTTTTGAAGTGCAAAAACTTTTTAGTAATGTGAGATCCCAGTTGTTGGTACTTTGAAGTATTTCCTGTGCAGTTTGCATTTTATTCATGAATTCTCTTCCCACTCCTATGTTTTCAAGCTTTTAAATCTACTTTGTCTTCCAGTAGATTTAATGTTTCTGTTTTAATATTTACATTCCTGGTTCTTTTTGACTTTAGTTTAGTCTATGGTGATAGGCATGGGTCTATTTTAAGTCTTATGTGGAATGCCAATTTTTCCAGCACCATTTATTAAAGAGGCTATCCTTCTTCCAGTGAACATATTTGGCACCTTTTTCAAATACGAGTTGGCAGAGTGTCTTTGTAGTAGTGTTTGCATTTTCTAATCTGTCCCATTGATCCTCAGGTCTATTTCTTTGCCAATACCATGCTGATTTATTACTGTGGCTTTGTAGTATAGTTTCAGGTCAGGAATTGAGATGCCTCCTGTCTTGCCTTTGTTACCCAGAATCTCCTTTGCTATTCTAGGCTTCTTCCTGTTTCCAGATGAATTTTAAGAATATTTTTTCTAGGTCTGTGAGGTAGGTTCATGGTATTTTGATTGGGATAGTATTGAATCTATATAACAGTTTTTAGAGTGTGGCCATTTTCACAATGTTGGTTCTTCCTAACCAAGAGCAAAGCGTATCCTTCCATTTTTTAATTTCCTCTTCAATCTCCTATTTTAGAGTAGTATAATTTTCAGCATATCGATCTTTTACATTCTTGATTAGGTTGATTCCTAGGTATTTGATTTTTTAGATGCTACTGAGAAAGGTGATATTTCCATAATTTCCCTCTCAGTGAGTTTTTTATTTGTGTATAGGAATCATTGATTTTCAAGTGTTGACTTTGTATCCAGCTACACTGATGAATTTGTTTATTACCTCTAGCAGTCTTTTAATGGAGTTTTTTTGGGTCTTCTACGTAGGGTATAATGTCATCTTCAAATAGTGATAATTTAACTTCTTCTTTTCCAATTCTTATTCCTTTTATTTCTCCCTCTTGTTTGATTGCTCTGGCTAATATTTCTAGAACTATATTGAATAGGTGTAGTGATAATGGACAGCCTTGTCTTAGTCCTAATTTTAGAGTGAAGGCTTTCAGTTTTTGTCCATTTAGTACAATGTTGGATATTGGATTGTCATAAATGGCCTTTATGAGATTGAGGTAAATACCATATATTTCAAGTTTCTGTAGGGTTTTTATCATGAACAGGTGTTGAACTTTATCAAAAGCTTTTTCTGCATCTATTGAGATGCTCATAGGATTTTTATTCTTGGCTCTGCTGATGTGGTGTATTGCATTTATTGAATTGCATATGTTGAACCATCCCTGCATTCCTGGAATAAATCCCACTTGGTCATGGTGTATTATCTTCTTGATGATTTGTTGCATTCTATTTGCCAGTATTTTATTGAGAATCTTTGCATCAATGTTTCTTAGTGAGGTTGGTCTGTAGTTCTCCTTTATGGTTGGGTTTTTCTCTGCTTTTGGTATCAGGGTAATACTTGCCTCCAGGAATGAGTAGTCCAGGGAGGACTGCTTTTCTTATAATTTCATTGAAGAGTTTAAGGAGTGTTGACATTAAATCTTCTCTAAATTTCTTGTAGAATTCAGCTGTGAATCCATCAGAACCCGGGCTTTTCTTTGTTGGTAAGTTTTTAATCACATTTTCAGTTTCAGTAGCTGATACTGGGTTATTCAAGATTGTTCTATCTTCTTGAGTGAGCTATGGTAGTTTGTATGTTTCTAGAAATCTGTCCATTTCCTCTGTTTCCCACCCTATGTGAGCAGAGGTTTTCAAAATAGGTGTTCATGATCTTTTGAATTTCCATGGGATCTGTAGTAATTTCCCTTTTTGCATGGATTTGAGTTTTTCTTGCTTTTTTTGATAAGGTTTGGCTAGAGGTTTATAAATTTTGTTTATCCTCTCGAAAACAGCTCTTTGATTCTTTAATTCTATGTATTACTCTTTTTGGTTTCAATTGCATTGATTTCTGCTGTAATCTTTAGAATTTCCTCTCTTCTATGGGCTGTGGGTTTGACTTGCTCCTCCTTTTCTAGGAGTTTGAGATGTAACATTAGGTTATTTATTTATGCTTGTTCTGTTTTCTTGATGTGACTATTTATGGCTATATTTTTTCTCTTAGGAATGTTTTCGTTGTGTCCCATAGGTTACAGTACGTTGTGTTTGCATTTTCATTGTATTGCAGGTATTGTTTTATTTCTTCTTTAATTTAATCTGCAACCCACTGGTTCTTCAGAAGGTTGTTATTTAATTTCCATGTATTTATGCAGGTTTTGCAGATTTTTTGCTATTGATTTCCAATTTTAGTGCGCTATGATCTGTTATTATGCGTGGGATAATTTCACTCCCTTTGCATTTACTTAAGAATGTTTTATGAGTTAATATATGGTCTGTTTTGGAGAATGTCCCCTGTGCAGCTGAGAAGAATGTGTAGTCTGATTGTTGTTGAGTGGAACACTCTGTAACCATCCACTAAGTCCATTCATTCACAGTTGTGATTCAGTTCTGTTATTTCTTTGTTGACTTTTCCTAGTTGACCTATCTCTTTGTGACAATGGAGTGTTAAGGCCTCCTATTACAATTGTGTTCTTGTGTACTTGGTTTTTCATGTCCATTAGTGTTTGTCTTACATAGTTGGGTCCTCCTGTATTTGGCGCATATATATTTATAATGTTACTTCTTCCTCTTCTAGTTTTCTACTTATGAGGATGTAGTGGACTTCTCTATATCTTTTAAGTTTGAAATGGAGATTGTCTGCAAACAAAATAGCTACCCCTGCTTTTTTCTGGGTTCCTGTTGAATGGAATATTGTTTTCCACCCTTTGACTTTTAGTCTATAAGTTTCTTTTTGAGTCAGATGTGTTTCTTGTATACAAGCATATAGTGGGGTTCTGTTTCTTGATCCATTCTGTCAACTTGCTTCTTTTGACAGGTGAATTGAGCCCATTTACATTTATGGATATCAATGACATGTACTGGCTTGACTTTGCCATATTATGTTCATGCTGTTGGCTTCCTGCTTTCCTCCCTTGTTTAATTTCTTACCCAGCATGGTGGTTTCTTTGTGTTGTTGTTCTGGAGATTGTGGTCATTTTTATCTCTTTGTAGTATCTGTTTCAATACTCTTTCTAGGGTTAGTTTGGTAGATGTGAATTCCTTCAGCTCTTTGTCATGGAAGTACCTTGGATCTCTATTAAATTTGAAAGATAGTTTTTTCTAGATACATCAGTCTGGGTTGAAAGTTGTTTTCTTTTAGGGCTTGAAATACTTCACTCCAAGCTCATCTTAACCTGAAGGTTTGTGCTGAGAAGTCTGCCATGATTCTAATAGGCTTTCTTTGAGATGAGTTGTGTCTTTAACAGCTTTTAGTATTCTGTTTTTATGCTGCATGTCTGGGATCTTAATTATTATCTATCTGGATGTAGATTTATGTTGGTTGTGACTGTTTGGCATTCTATATATCTCACTTATTTGTATGTCAGATCTTTTTCCCCATGTTTGGGAAGTTTTCCTCTATTACTTCTGTGAACAGCTTAATTATGTCCTTTGTGTTGTCTCCTGCATCCTCACTGATGCCTATTAATCTTACATTGTTTCTCTTGGGATTATCATTTCATGCTGCTTTGTTGTTTTTATAAGTTCTATCCTTTCATGATCATGAACTGTGAATCTGTCCTCAAGTTCTAAAATTCTATCCTCAGCTTCATTTAAATGGTTTTGCCAGCTCTCAATAGAATTTTTTGTTTCTTGGCTATCTCTGAATTTGTTTCATGGATTCTGCTTGTTTTCTACATTGTTCATTCAAAGTTTCAATCAATTTCCCATGTTCTGGTATTTTTTTATCTATTTTTCCCTAGCTATGTTGAGCAAATCCTTTACTAAGGTTATTTCTGTCTTTATGTAAGACACTACTTCTAATTTGCTTTCCTCTATAGCCTCATGGATTTGTTTCTTTACTTTGAAATTAAATTTAGGAGTGCCTCAGCATCCCTAGCCACCACTGGCCACCTGCCACGTGGAGGAACACCAAGCTCCACCCCTGCTTGGCAGATGGGCTGGCTGGCCCCCTCAGCACAGCCCCATTGCTGCTGTTGTTGCACTGTGGAAGGCACCAGCTGAGGAGGCCACCAAGCTCTGCCCAGGTTCATGCCACTGGGTCAATAGTATATTCTCTTAACATTAATATTCATCAAGTCATTTTTTATCTTCATAAAGCAATAAAAAGTCTATCTGTCCCAATTAAACCTTTGAAATTTGTTCCTCATATCTTCACTCCATGAATAATCCCTTGCTTAAAAAAACAATATAATCTCTCTCACATATAGTGAGAGAGATATGCACTTTCTCTCTTTAAATATATATATACACATATAGAGTATATATACATATATAATATATAAATGCATATATACATAAATACATATATAGAGATAGTATATACAGTATAGAGAGAGAGCATATATATAGAATACATACATATATACATAGAGAGTATGTGTATGTATATATATATATATATATATATATATATATATACACACACACACATATGAGAGAGAGAGGTATTATATATATTCCCATAGGGTAAGTTTTCCCACAGTGTGAATTAGTGAAATGTATTTTTCACCAAAATGGCACTGGAATTTTTACTGCAATTGAATTGGATCCCTAGATCAAACCATAAGATACTAATGTATTCCCATATTTGAGTCTAAGAACATGATTTATTTAATCACTTTTATCTGCATCATAGTTATAAATGTTTCCCTGTATTTAAACATGGTAGATTTCTAAAGCTTTAAAAAATGTACTCTACATTTGATAGTATTAAAATGTAACAAATACCACTTTTATAATTTCATTTATGGATGGCTAATAACTAAGTTGTATAAATAATTTATTTTCACTAATTTATATTCCAGTCTTCTGTTTCAATATCACTAAATTCAACTATTAATTTTCTGTACTTAATTCTTATACACTAATTCCATAACATAACATCAAGTATGTTTCATTCATTCTGATACATTTTAACTTGTGTATATTTACATGAGCATACAGGATCAACAAGGGCTTGCAGTGTAATGTCTAGTAAAAGTGATGTCATTGGAAATTCTACTCCAATGTTTGCTTTCAGGATGCTAGGACTCAAACGCCATTTATGAGTTTAGACAGTTTCTTTGCAATCTTAACTTTGTAAGTACAGTTGTTGCTTATTTTTATGAGAAAGTATTCAACTTCAGTACACAATTTAATTTATGAATTTAATTTCTCCTTTCACACAAACTCTTGTACTAACTTATTCCCTATACTGAAACATGTGCAACATAGAGCAGGAGAATTTTATTTTTGCTGTAGTTTTCAGTCCATGCTGAAAGGATATGGGCAAAGGACACCTGCCCATCACAGGGCAGCAAGGAAACAGAGAGAAGATTATGACATTCATCAGGAGATAAACCCATTGATGAGTACGGCACCCCTGTGACTCAGTGACCTCTGACACACATGAAAAATTTGGAAGACATTTTAGATCTAAAAATAAAAACTACTAATAGTATTTGATCTGAGAAAATGTCTCAGAAACAAGACCACAAAGGTAAGTATTATCACTTATAAAATCCTTTAGTATGGGTGCATATAATTCTGCATCTTTGTGGCATAAACTATGATTCATGATGTATGTTATTTCCACTACTGATGTATGAATTCTGGGAGAGGAGGTATAAAAATCCTAGTTAGTGTTCTACTATACCAGTGTATGCTTATTGAAGAGCAAAGACATACCTCTCAAACCAAACACAATTTCTCTGAGCATCAACTTTGTATCAAGAACAGTGCTACGCTCAGAAAATTAAGTACCAGAGCTGTGTGTCAGTGCAATCCAAATGTATCTTCACATAATGAAAATTCTGACTGTTTGATGATACATTGTATTGCTGCCTTTGCTTGATGGCTGCCACCATCAGTAGCTTCTGACCAAATACAGCCAGCACAGGCAGTGGAACCCAGCCATAGACTGAAAATTAAAGGAGAGAAAACAAGTGTTCCACATGACCAGAGACCAGAAAAGACCAAGATAACTTGCCCATCAACTGCAGAATGGGTAAAAAAGATACGATTTTTTATACAGTGGAAAGCTACCGAGCTATAAAGGCTCTTGTAGGTGAAAATTGATGCAACTTCTGCTTGCCTTCAACTGCCATTGGAATGTTTGCTTCCTGAAGACAGCCAGCAAAGGCAAGGAACCACAGCCAGATCTACCTCTGCTTGCCAGTCATTGCCACTGGAAACTTTCCTTTTGGTGGGTAGCCAGGATAGGTAGGGACATGCAGCCAGGTAAGCCCCATGCACCTGCAGGCCACCATTGGAGAGCCTTGTTTCCTTTGGGCAGCCATTGCCCACCAAGAGAATCAGACAAACACACTCCTGTGTGCCTGACACCATTATGGGAGTCCTGGTGTAGACAGGCAGGATGACAGAAAAAGCAGCCCCACCACCATGCATCCTTGGCCGTCAATAAAGCCTCAGTGTAGCTTCACAGCTCTGGAGATGTCTGCCCCATGCGCTGCTACCTCCCTAGGAACCTGGGGTCAAAGAGACCCAGGTGCCTGTCCCACTCTTCTACACCATGGAGGGGTAGCCAAGGTGGGAAGTGCCTGGGACCCCACAACCAGCTTGTTGGGAGAAATCCAGGATAATGTTAAGACAAAGGAGCAAAAGGTAACCTGAGATCTTCAGCCCACACAGAACAAGTCTGGAAGATACAGTCATGGAAAAACCTGGAAGTCGCACACCTGAAATCTCCAACAGGATAGCACCTAAAATAAAGAAACAGCTTCGTAAGACTATAAAAGTAATCAGATGAGAAATAATATCTCAGATAAAAGAACAAATCACAAACACAAAGAATTGCTGAGCATATCTAAAGAAGACATAGATTTTAAAAAGAGAAGCATAGGAAAATGAAGGAAACTTTGAATGAACAATATAGAAAGGAATTACAATGTATGAAACAGATTCAAAGAGAGAACCAGGAAATTAAATTCAACTGAAAGCTGGAAAAATTACTTGAAAGAGACTGAAGATACACTTTCACGCCTTGAAGACAAGACTGCAGCTTGCAATCATGAAAGGAAAGATCTCTCTTAAAAAATCACAAGGAAACAGAAATAACAGTTCAATGGCTACAAGATGACACAAAGAAAAATAATTTAAGATTGGTATGTATCAGTAAAAAAGCAGGGAAACATATGAAATAAAAAGGCTGTTACAGAAGTAACAGCATAAAACTTCCCAAACATGGGAAAAGTATCTGGCATACAGGTAAGTGAGACATTTAGAACTTCAACTAGCCATAAACAATGTAAATCTACACCCAGGCATATAATAATCAAGATTCCAAAAATTCAGCACAAGAATAGCATATTAAAACCTGTTAAAGAAAAGGAACAGACTACCTAGTAGAGGAAAACCCATCAGAATCACAGAAGACTTCTCAACATGAGCCTTCAAGTCAAGAAGAGTTTTGAGTGAAATGTTTCAAATCCTGGAAGAAAACAACTTCCAACCCAGATTGATCTACCCTCCAAAATTATCTTTCAAAATTGATGGAAAAATAAGATAAAGAACAAGTGAAGGAATTCATGATACCAGAAAAGTGCTAAGAGGATGCTGACAGATATTCGAGAGATAAAGGCCATGGTTCCAGGTACAGCAGCAGAAGGAGATCACCAAGCAGGACAAAAGGGGAAAGTGGAAGGCCAACAGTAGGGGGATAACATGGCACAGATGAACCAGCATATGCTGGTTATAACCATTAATGTAGATGGCCTCAATTCAGCAATAAAAAAAAACACAGGGAGAGAGGATCAAGAAACAAGATCCACATTTAACTTGAAAAGAAATTCATAGACTGAAAATTAAAGGAGAGAAAACAAGTGTTCCACATGACCAGAGACCAGAAAAGACCAAGATAACTTGCCCATCAACTGCAGAATGGGTAAAAAAGATACGATTTTTTATACCGTGGAAAGCTACCGAGCTATGAAGTAGGATGGTCTCAAGGCTCTTGTAGGTGAAAATTGATGCAACTGGATTTCATGGTCATGGGCAAAATGGTTGGAACTCATATAGATGAAACCTAGCATAAAAAAGACAAGGAGTTAGTAGGATCCAAAAAAGCATAACAGATATTATGACAGTGATAGGGGAGGAAACACCTGGGAGGGGAAAGGGATACCGCTGTTAATTTCTTATTGTCTTTTCTTGAACTCCTGTATCATTTTAGTAATTTTGTTGGGTTTGGTTTTGTTCTGTCTTGTTTTGTTACATTTTACTGTCTGAAGGTATGGACAGTTATTTTGAAGACAACAAGAGACAGTATGGTAGCCTTTGCTGATTTCCTATTGTCTTGTTTTGAAGTCTCATAATGCATTCATTCTTTTGTTTTGATTGGTTTTGTACTATTTTCTTCTGTTTGATTTTCTTGTGTGTGAAGCTATGGGAAACTATTTAGAAGACAATAAGATACATTATGGAAGCCACTGTTGATTTCCTGTTGCCTTGTGTTTGAAGTCCTGTTTTTCTTGCATTGTTCTATTCTGATTTGTTTTGTTTCGTGCTCTTTAAAATAAAAAAGAATAAAATGAATGAAGAAAGTATTATGTCTGTGCCATCATCTGCAAGATTGTATTCTGTTTCCTGGATGGATGGAATGAATATAAAATAAAGTTACAGAATAAGACAATAAGGCAATTCTTCATAAGGCAATTCTTACCGGTGTCATTGGCAATCTCATTCTCTGAGCATGGGGTGCAATCAAAACAACAGGCAGCCTTTCCCTCCTGAGGAGTTTTCCAGAATCCAGGGTTACAACTCTTACTGCATACAGATTTGGGGGCCTAGTGAAAAAATATACACATTTATTTAGTAGTAAATTCTGGGAATTTAATGAATAACTTGAGTGAAAATTTATATACATAGGCAAATAAAATCACACATACATGTATAACACATATCACCACAAGAAACACAAATGTTTTTAAATTGAGGTGAAATGAGTGACTTGCTTTTCAGCACACTGGAATACTGGTAAAGAATAACAATATTAGGTTAAAAATAATGCTGCTAATTTACCATATTTGCCCATGTAATGCCCCAAAACTGGAGATACAAAGCCTACAGTGATATTTTGGTTATTGTCTGGGGTTCTTTTGTGTGAGTTTATTTATTTATTTGTCTATTTATAGACAGGGTCTTGCTGTGCAGTTCAGGCTGGCCTTGAGTTCACATTGTAACCCAGGCTGGTCTTGCACTCACAAGGATACTCCCACCTCTGCCTCCCAAGTGCTGTATGACAGGCACGTGCCACCATCCCCACCTTGTGGTTATATTTGTTTAATAGTGAGCATTATGATCCTGTCCAACATACCTCTGTAATTCCTGTCATCCATTCAATCATGTTATCAGTTAAAGATAATTGCTGGCCATGTGGAACGTGTGGGGTAAATGTTCCTAATTTGATTTTAAGTCTAAGGCCATCTGGGAAATTCCAAAAGTTGAGAATGTCATACTCTGCATCCAGTTTCTTTTCATCATTCAAATGCATTTTCTCTCCAGCAGGACTGTTAAACTGGATGTTCCTCAGAAAGGGGTGCAGCTGAAAGAACACATGCTTTGATGAACAACATTCCATCCATGACTTAGACAAAAGTGAAGTAAGGAGCTCCTACTTGACCTTCACTTTTATTCATACTGTGCCTTTAACACTGGCATTTAGGAAATAGAATAATTAAAACCCTATAGAGAACAAAACAGCATTTTATTCCCAAAATGTAAATCTGAGGAAAAAATCTTTTCACTCAAGTCCATTAAAACAAAGAATTTTAATAGATGTTAGAAAACACCAACTTTGGAATCAAATCTTCCAATATTCCAATGACAATATGTCATTGATAGAACAGGGTCTATCTTTGGCATGATGTTAATAATAGCAAAACAAATTCCTGAATTAAATGACAAAATTCATATATCTCATACAGAGCTTGGCACCATTTACATCATGAAGGACTACATAGTTTTTTGTTGTTTAAGAACTCCATGGAACATGTTCAGATTTTTGCAGCAAAGGTTACAGCAAGGCAAGAAACTGACATCCTGAAGGAAACCAGTGATGTTTTCCCATATCAACTTCCCCTTTTCCAGGGGTTCACTGAAAAATAAATGCTTATGCCCAGCTCAAGATTTATATTCCTAACAATGAGCATGTTAATAATTTCTTCTACTTGTGGATCAAATGTTCTCAACTTCTCTAATGAAGAACTTGTGTAATATAGAAGAAGAATATCATAATACTACATGATATTAAAAACACCTTACCTGCCAGGGGGAAAATATAGACAATCCTCTATTTCTTATTGTCAGTTTTTGTGTTTGTTGAAAAAGCATCTCATGGAGGGCGTGGGCCACAGCATACACAGCGTTGTATATGTTGTAGCTCTCATCGGTCATATCTGTGTCAAAACGATTCATGGGCAGCTGTGCCAAAGAGGCATTAGGTGTACAGTTCCTCAGTGCACAGTCAGAGTCAGAGATTGAGCAACGGAAATGATTGAGCCAGTACATAGTAAGGTAAGTGTCTTCTGGGTATCTGAAAGGATTGGCTTCTTGGACAAAATTTTTGAAAGCAGAAATCTCCTCATGATGGTTAGAAAAAATGAAACTCCCATGGAATGGGTTAAGAATGAAATTAGCCCCAGACATGTCAGCATGCCATTGAGAGTTTGTGACCCAGACTCTCCATGTGCCTACATTTTGCCCTATAAGGTAGTTTATATCATTGAGAGTCTCAGTATCACAGTATATGATAACCACAGTCACTGGGGATGTTTCCCTGGCTATGATATCATGTTGCAGTGGCCTAAAGAAATATGATTCAAAAGCACTTGAGACCATTTTCAAAAATGCTACACAGATTCTATTCCTTTCCATTTCGGCTCTCACATCTGAGAGAAACTGAACACCTCTATGACCTTCTGTGATGATCAGTCCCACCCAGGTCCAGCTGAAATGAAGCATCAAAGAGACCATGCCAAGGGCCAGAGATGTGTCCTTGGGGGCGACTTGGTATAGAGAAGGAAACTGGCCATTGTCTCTCAGCATGGGATCAAAGGAGCCAAAGGTAACCTAAAGGAAAAGAAAATTGGAAGAAATATAAGAAGAGTGTGGACAGAAAGCACAATCTCAGGCCTGGAGAATACTAAGTAATAGCCAGGAGTAAAAAGAGATACATGTTTTTCTAATGTTTCTAATTTCATTTGCTAATGGATTTTTTGAAGATAACTTTCAGATATATATTTCTTAGAAATATTTTTGTTTTCTTCACTCTGTGCTCTGTGCTGCAGACAAATTGTGAGCAGTTCACCAAGTCTTTGTGTACATTTGAGATTATGCATTTTGAAACCTGCAAGAAACGATTCTCTTTCCATCCTATTTAAGCACCTAATAATGTCACCAACAAACTCATGGTTTTGTGTGTTGCCATCTCTCCCACCCTCACCTGTGGAAATCTGTAGAGCTCCAGCAGTGTGCTCACTTGAGAAGAAGCTGCCCACGATGTTTCTGTTAGCACTGCAACAGGCTTGCTCTTTCTTCTACAGCTGTAATTGGGGATTTCATTCTGTCCTGTGAGCAAAACGAGGGAACTCTCCACTATTCTCCAATGACTGTAAAGGAAATTATGGAACTCGTATCCCAGAGACATGTTGGATAAAAGATGAGGATTCTTGTTGATCTCTTCTATGGCAAAAATGAAGGCCAGAAAATTCTGGTAGCGGTTAGGGAGATGCCTGCAATGAGAGCACGTATCTTTTGGAAAAGACTCCCTCTATGATAATCTTCCAATCCAGTGCATTACCATTTGTGAAGTGAATGCTCATGTTCCACCCCCATACTCATATTCTAAGAATGTAGGCATAAATATGACAGTATTAGATGCTTTGTTTTAGTGAATATTAAAACTAGATGATTCCTTGATGGTGGATTTTTAATGAATGAGTTTAGTTTTCTTACAAGAGTCCAAATACATTTACTTCATTGTTCTATGTGAGAACACACTGAGAAGTGTCATTAATAAAGAAGGAGGCAAATTCTCTTTTTGCTTTCTGAACTATAATTGTTAAAACTAAACAATTGTTGTTTTCAACACTTATTTTTTTACATACCAAACTGAATTAAACTAATATATTAACTAAGGTTAAACCACCAGGAAATTAATTGTGTCTTTCAAAGAAGTCCTAGGTACTAAAGTTAAACAAATAACATACCTTTGGCTCTGGGATGACCTCACCAATTTCCTTATATCTGAAGGAAATGTTGAAGTGTGAAAAAGATTATACACAACTGCATTTTTATAATGTTCTTTGATATCAAAGTTAAGTAAATGCACATATTAAACACTACATTCTACAATAATGTATGTGAGTTTGGTACTATCAATGAAGAGGAAAAATGTGAGAAGTGAAGGATCTGTGAAAAGCAAAGAAACGTGTGGAACCTCATGTTGTAACAGAAGGATTGAAATTAAGATACGTAAATATCTGCTCCATCAAAGTGATACATCTGCTATCATCAAAAGCTATGAAAATTATCAATTTCTGAACATAAAGAGAAGTTCTATGAAAATTTGGGGATATTTGAGAGAGAAAAACAGGGATATTGAGAGAAGGCTTGAAACTCAGGATTCTACAAAACTCAACAACATTTTCTTTTAATTTATTAACCTTTGAAACTTAAAAAATATGAAATATCTCTGCAAAAACTCATCTGCAGCACTTATACAAAATACTCTATAGTCATTACCTGTCCTAGAATTTTGAACAGAGTTTCTAGTCAGTGACTTCTTACACTTTTATTTTTTAATGTCTGAAGTTCTTCAGTAATAAAAGTCTGCATTTTTTGTATTATTATGTGTCTTGTGAGTTGATTCTCTATCAACTGCATAGTTCATGTGCATATCTCACTGATGCTCCTGTGTGCATGTGTTCTCACTGTGTGCATAGCAGTGAAGACCAATCCTGGTCCCACATTCATGGCATATGTTCCCCAACTCCCTGAGCTTGGAATGTGCACTATCTATGGTCAGGTACAGATACCTGTATGAGACTGATAAACTAGACTTAATATATTAGTTTTAAAATGTTATCATGCACATGTTATTATTTCTTTGAGATACTGTTATTGAAATTCCTTAATCTACCATTTGTACTCTTTCCTGTTCTCTCTTAATCTTTTCACACATCTTTCTCATCATTAACAACAGAAGATTTATTTCCATTTCTTGTACTTTAATCAACATATATCTTCAAATACTATAATATGTAAACTCATAATCAGTTTTTCTTTGGGCTAATTTGACCTTTCCTAAAATTATGAAGCATGCATTTTCCTTATTCTTGTTTCTCACCATATTTTTCATATTAAGCAATTTGTTTGAAATTAATATATCAAGCAAAGATAAATTCTGGATGTTGCTTGCATAGGAATATCTGCATAGTTATAGCCATATCTGTGAAATTTTTCATATTAATTTTCATTCATAGTTATCTTCCATAAACAAGAGATAAATAAATTTGTGATTTTCATATCAAATATTATCATTTATATTTATATGATTAATTTACTCTATTTATAATTTGTAATAACCTAGGTTTCCTTTCTTCATATTGTCTCTATTTTGCACTCCACTTCCAGATAATCACTAGATTATTTTCTAGGGATGTTTATTTGTTAATTTGAACTTCAGCTTGCTATTTGACTGGTTTCCATTGATGAGGGTGAGAGTTACACTATTTATTTAGATTGTGAGGCCTCCCAACCAGAATGTGCAGCTGTTAATCTTCTGGTCTCACACATTTGCTGGAAAAAGAAAATGAATTATGTATTCCATTAATTCTTCCATCTCAACAAGACTCAGCAGTTCACAATCAAGATGAATTTTGAAAGTTTTAAGTATTAAATCAAACAAATGAAAGAGCAATTCTCTAAAAGCACTACATTAATATTTTCAACATGTAGTACATACAGACATTCTGAATGGAAAGACAAAAATGTTAAATTGAAATTATGAAAAATGTTAAATTATAACCAATTAACATGGATTTTGAGAGAAAGAAAAGATGTGACAAAATGTTAATACTTTCATATAACACTGAGGACTCAGTAGGATAAGATACCAGATTGCAGACTTGTAACAGCTGCATTACTTAAAATTGAAAAAGCTAAGGAAGATCGAGGCTTTGACACTAACTTGATTTTTGTTACATATCTACAGGCAGAGAATTAAAGATTGCAGAGTTGATTAGTGATTATAATCTTACATGTGATAATGTATTATCACAAGTTAAGTAAAGATTTTAACCTTATTGCCTGACTGACATAGAGCTAAACTCATTTGTGATAACGTTTGCTCCGTAGTTTAAAATGTGTGTAACAATGCAGTACTATTGTAATATACATTAATTAAATATTTAGATGTCAAACACAGTATTGTTTATTTACAAATCTTGAACTGTCCAACTTAGAGGAAAAACTTAGGAATTAAACAAGTGCTTATGTACCATCAGTTATAATATGTTCACTTTATACATGTAAATATTTTCCAAAATTTCTTCTCCTTTTCCTTCTGATTTAAAATGAAATAAAAACTGTCATTTGAGCCTCAATTGTTGTGTCCAGTGGATAAATCAATCCAGAGATAAAAAGCTGTCAGAATGGCAAGAATATTCTTTTTAGATTTTGTCAAGTGTTATAGCTCACAAGTCTGAAACTGAGCCAGCTGAGTAGCAGACAGATTCCCTGAGCTGGGAGGGGGCACACAGAGGATAACAGAAAGGGCAGACAGCCTCTCCTCTCCTCCTATGAAAAGAAGCAAACTTGCTGTGTAGCATAACTAAAATATTCTCAAAAACTGACAGCACTGCATGTCTGATCAGCTCCTCATCCACCTCTGTCTTCACATGTCTGATCACAGTGCACTGCCTTTGCCTGGATCGTCAGGCTGGTTTATGGAAATCTCCATTGTGCTTGTATTGCCTTTTAGTAATGCCCACCCAGTGGCCTCTGCCTTCTTCTTGTAAACTCCATTGTCCCCAGCAGCTTAAATAATGCCCTGAGAGTCTCTTCCCCAATGTGAAGTCCCATTGCCACGATCCCCATAATAATTGTCAAGCCCTGATTAAATAAAATTCTTCCAAAGATTTCCAGTAAGCACAATGAGCATTTTAGACACTTTTCAAGAAATTCACAAAGAGACTCCTCCCTAAATCAGCCACCAAAAAATTGTGCTCATCTGTCATCAACACGGAAACAACACTCAAGAGCACCTACTAAAATCAAACTCATAAACTAAACCAAATAATGACAAAAGCTACCATAGTTCATTGTATAAGAATGAAGATACCTGCCATGAGTAATGAGACCTGCTTGTGATGCCAGTTGCTCAAGGGGTTGAGGTGAAGGGAATACTTAAGCTCAGGATATTGCTTGTAGCCTAAGCAATATAAAAAGATGTTATTGCAAAACTATGGAAACATGGGGAAAATTCCCAGGAAAAAATTTAACAATGCATCTGGACATGATAACAAATATGAAATAAGCACAGTTACAATTTAAAGAGGAAACAATCCCAAAATTTCTGACTCTACCATCTTAGTCCCAAACAGACAGCTGCCAGGGGAAGGACCAGTGCCTTCAGCATCTTATGAAAGCCAATCAGTCTTTGCCCCATGACATCCCCTTTACTACAAGGGCACAAATCATCTTCTGGGATCCTCTGATATTTTGCAAAGTACACTGTATAATAATAAAGAACTGCTTGTGTCTATAGAACTGATGTGTCAGGAGCTGAAGACACAAAATATTTACATCCCCAAGTGAAGAAAAATCAAATTGGAGGGTAAAATCTCACAGATTAACTATTCTTCATTTCTGCTTGCAGATCGAAGTGCCCTAGAGCATGTATGGCATGAATGCTGAGATATACAGTATTTGAAAAGAACAGAATATCAGTGGTAGAATTCTACATGACAGTGATATTGAGTGGTACACGGGAATAAGTGATAATGATATGACTAATGGTACACATTAATTTTTTGAGACATAGTTTTTGCTAGGTAGTTCAGGCTGGCCTGGACTCAGTGTGTAGCCCGGGTTGAAATCAAATTCATGGCAATCCTCCTGCCTCAGCCTCCTGAGTGGTGGGATTTTTGATGTTCACCACCTTGCTCATCTGATATACATTTTCAAAAGACTAGAAGATGCTGGATTTTATTAAGGAGGTAGTTTACTGTAGCTGCTTAGCAATAAATTCAAAATAATGCCATGGGTTGCATTTGTAAGGAACATCACTGCATGAGCTATGCACTGGCAGCTAAGTTAGGAGGAGTCCCAGGAATCTGAAATAAGGTAGACCTTTGTCTTCACCAGCTTCTAAGGCCAAAAGCAGGAGGCTAAAAACATAAAAACATAATCTCTTCCCACTTTCAAAAGGTGAAGAATCACAGGAAGTTCAGAATAATTTATGGTGACCACTGTGCATGTATGAATGGGAAGGACAGGGTAGGAGTATAAGCAACATAGATTTTTCATGGACAGGTCCTTAGGAATTATCTAAATCATAATAAAAAAAGAGAATGAATGCAAGAAAAGGGCACTTACGGTACAATGAGGAAGTCCTTCATAGGCTGTAGAAAAAAGAAACCACCACTGTAGAAGTAATTAAAAAGGGAGAAAAGTCCCCCAATGACCACATCTCCATCCTTGTGCACACTGGTGCTCCTTCTCTGAAGGCAGGGTTCAGTTTCAAAATTACACACTGGCAGAGGAAGTTGCAGGAGAAAATATACAGCAGTCAATATGCACATTTTCAACAAGTCTGCAACGACTTGAGTCTGGGTGAAGAACACATTTGCAGGGTCCACCAGTTAAATGTGTGTGTTACTGTTTTTGACTCAGGTGAACCCACTTGTGACTTTGACACTTTTCAGCATGCCTCCAACATGACCCAGGAGAAATTTGTCACCATTTCCCTCCTGAATTCTGCATCCAAGTTCTGGTATTGTGAAATTCCCAAGTTGCAATTACATTTGAAAACCATTCTCTTCTCCTAGAGGCACAGTGATTTCATCAAATCCAGCCACATGCCAGATGCTGTAGTACTCTTAGGCTTGATGTTTCTCAAACTGTATTTGGTCCTTTGGGATGTTGCTAAGGGACAAGACCAGAAGTTCCATGTTAGGTGCACTTTGACACAGTGAAGCCTGTGCTCAGTGTTCTGCAGTCCACAGGAATAGATAAGGAGTATCAGCATCACGCACCCTATTTGGCCCTATTTCCAGTTCCTCAGTACTTCACAATGTCTTAAATTCACAAATTAATATATTGTGGTGTTCCATTTCTACACCTAACTTTTCCGTTTGTAAATCAATAGAGATTTATGAGTAAACAGTGTATGAGGGAAATTTCTTGTTTGATCACCCTCAAGCAAAGCAAGTTCCCGGCCATCCAAAATGCTGAATAAGAGGAGAACAAAGGAAGTGGATTTTTCTGCAAAATAATTTTTACTATATGATATCAAAGTGTAGAATCCTCATCATTTTGCATTTTTAAAAATTAAAACTGTGTTTAATCAGCGCAAAGAGTGAGTCCCAGTGTTAAAATGGACTCCATATTGACGCATCAATGTTCTTTTAAATGTGCCATGTACTTAATAGGCAAAATATTCAAATTGCAACAGAATATAATTACTAATTTTGAAAAACTAAATTTTAAGAACAAAGTTTTATAATTTTATAGAAAATGTATCTTTTTTAGGGACCATGGATTTAGCTCAGTGGCATAAGTACCTGCCTTGCAGGTGCAAGTTTGTTAGATCGATCCCTGGGATGAAAATAAATAAGAAAAGAAAAAACCTGTCTTTTTGACAAGTGAAGAACATGTCAGACTGTAAATTTCCCTGAAATTTATCTTTTTTTTGTGTGTGTTTTTCATTTTTATCGGTACCAGGGATCGAACTCACAACTGCCTGCTTGCAAGGCAGGTGCTTATGCCGCTGAGCTAAATCCACGCCCCACTGAAACTTACCTTTATCCTCCATATGGGAAGACATTTCTAGTGTCTCTTAATGGAAATCTTTGTTAACTGTACTCATAATTATCCTGTTCATTCTATTATTTGGACCCTCCACCAACTGTTGTTGTTCTACTAGAATCTATGTAGTGGTAACAAAAAACAGTTAAAAAGATAACGTGAGATTAAAATCTCTACATAAGTACCAGGGTCTGGGGAGATAGCTCAGTGGCATAAGCACCTACCTGGCAAGTGTGGCATCATAAGTTCAGTTCCCTGTTTAAAAAGAGCCATGTATAATATTTTTAGCCTGACAATCATGATGCTATTATTTGTATGGCATAGTTAAATCTCTATTTTGGTATAGAAAATTATTTTTAGTCAATCGTCTCTATTCAGTACCTAAGAGGCTCTCACCTAATAGGTGTCCTTCAACGGGATGTCACTGAACATATTTGTGAATGTTTTTGGATTGTTTTATACCCAAACATCTTTAACTGTACTAACACAGGTACAATAAAAAAAATCATAGAAGCTCTACTTTTTTCATTATCTTTTTATTTTATGGAAAAAGGTAAAACAAAAATTTCATAACAAAATAATAGGAGTAAAACAATACTTAATACACTATGTGTTGTAATCTTTAAAGTCTTTTCTCCAGGTACCATATGTGAATGAAAGTTTCTCAAGTAGATATTAGCTCAAACATCCCTTTTTTAATGAACCAAGATGGACTAACAGTATAATTGACTTGCATTTTTCCCTTTTGCCTAGTTTTTTTTCCTTTCTCCCATAATAGTTCCTTTTACCTTTTGAACACTTTCTTTCCATTTCACAATATCTATTGTATAATTTAGATTTTGAGTTTCTTACAATAGGTATACAATATGATATTTACACAGATGGGTCTGATATGTTAGACATGTATGTATTGACTTTTGTTACATCCATTTACCTGAAAAGCCTCAAGTGTATTATTATTTATGGATATGTAGTACTCCATTGTACAAAAACACCACATCTTTTTGATCCATTCCTCAATTGATGGGCATTTGGGCTGTTTCTAAGATTTACTCACTACAATCTGTGCCTGTAAACGTGGGTGCACATTTAACACTGTGGTATGACACTTTTAATTCTTCAGAACAGATGCCCAAAAAAGGAATAGTTGGGTCAAATGGAACCTTTAATCATAGTTTTTGAGAAATCCCCACGCTGATTTGCACAGTGATGATAGCATTCTACAAACCCAGTGACAGTCAAGAAGGATACCTCTTTCCTCACAGCTTTTCCAGCATTTATTGGTTGATTTCTTGATGATAGGTATTCTTTCTGAGGTGAGATGGAATGTCAGTATTGTTTTAATTAGCACTTCTCAAATAATCTGTGATTTTGAATATTTTATGAATTTATTTGTGATTTGTTTTTCTTCATCTGAGAAGTGTACATTCATCTCAGATGTCCAGTTTTTTTATTTTATTTAAAAGGGAAAAGAGAAAAAACAAACAAAACAAAGCGGTGTAAGGGTACAAATAATACAGATGATCCCCCCAAAAAAACAGTAAGAAATCACCAGTTAATAGATTACATATATCATCTTAGAGATAGTTGCTCAAGTCACAGTATCAAAGCATACAAAGTGAATATTCAAACGAGAGACTGCAAACAGTTGTGTTCAATGATCCAACCAAAAACATTAATATGGTCAGCTACCAGTTTTTACTGATCCTTTGAATTTGGGGAGCCTGACTTCTTTAAATTCTTAATATGTTCTAGATATAAGTCCTTTGCCTGATGTTTCTTACTCTGTGTATCTTTGCACTCTTTTGGTGCTTTCTTTTCCTGCACAAATCTCTTTAATGAGTTCAGATCCTTATTGATTCTTAAAGTATTTCCCATACAGACTGGGTTGTGCTTCTGAATTCTCTATATACATCTATGCATTCATGATTTCTACCTCCTTTCTCTTCCAGTAGACTTAGTGTTTCTGTTTTAATATCTAGATCTTTGATCTATTTTGAGTTTAGTTTAGTGCATGTTGATAGACATGTGAATAGTTTTGGTCTTCACATGTAGAGAGTCAGTTTTTCCATTTCTTAAACAGGCTATGTTCCTTCTAGCAAACATGTTCATCACATAATCTGTTCCATTAATCCTGAGTTCTGTTTTTTCCAGTATCGTGCTGATTTTACCACAATAGCTTTGCAGTATAATTTCAAGTCAGAGACGGTGATGTTTCTGGCCTTCCTTTGCTGCCTAGGTTTGCCTATATTATACTAAGTCTTCTCCGGTGAATTTTAGTTTTAGGGTCAGATATCCCAGCATGAGATAAAATTAGCAATGATCCCAAGAACAACAAAAGGAAACCATCAAACAAGGCAGGCAGTTAAACAGAGAGGAAAACTTAGAGAGCCAACAGCAGGAAAGCAACACGACAAAGATAATCTAATGTTACAGCCATCAGTGTAAATGGCTTCAATTCACCAATCCAGAAAAACAGACTGGCAGAATGGATCGATCAGAAAGATCCAACAATGTGCTCTGTACATGAAACATATTTAACTGAGAAAGAAATTCGTAGACTAAAAGTCAAAACAATACTCCATGCAACAGTAACCCAACAAAAAGCAAGGGTAGCTATTCTGCTTGCTGACAGCGTGAGCTTCAAACCAAGAATGGCCAAAAGAGATAAAGGGAGTGGTGCAGTGGTCTCTTGTGTATGATTGGTGTCAGGTAGAGGGAGCAGAACAGTGACTCCATGGCTGATTATCGTTCAGTCAGTGTTTTGCTATTGGAGAGAGATGACTGAGACTTAGGAGATGCTAAAGGATCAGTCACTGAGGGCAGTGCTTCAGGGTGAGGATGATGAGGGAGGTGTTCACCGTGTGCACATGTTGGGTGGCTTATATGTGTATATGGTTATGTGTGTTTGTTTGTTTATTGAATATGTGGTGACCCTTGCTTTAAGGGTATCATAGGTCATTTTCCTTTTAGAAGATGTGATCCAATTGGAAACCACATTTGAAGAATAAGCAGCATAGTTCTCTACCTTACAATTTGTAACTATTCTAATTCTGTTAAATCTTAGGATAAACTTAAAAATCCTTCTTCGGTTCACAGAAAGTTGCTGTCTCCCTTCTGACTTGGTAGGCAGGTTTGTTTGAGCCAATATTTAATTAAAGCTTTAACCTGTAAGTTGTTTAAAATTTCATTTTGTTGGGTTTTATTTTTCATATTGGAGCAATCTCTTTGGATGTGTGTCTTCTTGGGAAGCCTTAAGCTTCATGTTTTTTTCTGGGGTGCCATGGTTTTTGATGTGGTGTCAATTTGGGGCATAGAATTTGTGACAGGAGCTCAGCATAAAAATACAGACTGATTTCTTGATTCAGATCTGTTTGGAATGAACTGCACTGGGGAGATTAGTGAAGACACAGTTACTGAGTTTTCACTCTTTTACAATGAGGGACTTCTGCATTTGGGACCAGTGAATATGGATTGAAAAACCCCACTGTGGCAGTGAAGAAGGTCAGGAGATGGTACCAGAACATGCTAGAGGAGCAGGCATTGAATCATAACCAAACCACAGCTCACGCTGCACAAAGGAAAGCTCTTTACCCTGATTGTCCTTCCAAGGGCATTCAGGAATGACAAGGAGACACCCTTGGGTAGTACAGAGTGGTTAAATATGGTAACCACTGGATGTGCCAGAGGTAGCTGCTCCAGAAGGAAGCCAATTGACCTTGGTGTAAGACCAGAGCCATTCTTTCTTTCTGAGTGGAAATCTTTCTGTTCAACTTCCCTAATATGAGCCTAGGGTAGCACACAGTTTAAAATATTCTAGGGGAACTTGTGGTCACCAAGACTGTGCCCCACAGTGACTGGCCATGTGACTATGCAATGGGAGGCCATCTTTGAAAACAGCCATCTCTAGACTCCATCTACTTCTGTGTAGTTGTAATGGGGAGACTTAATATTCCAGTGTTACAAATACATACAACAACCAGACCAAAAATCAGCAAAGAAATATCAGAACTGAACCAAACCTGTGAACAAATGGACGTAGTAGTTATCTACAGAGTGCTCCACTATGCAACATCAAAATACACACTTTTACTTAGCTGTACACAAGATGGTCTCTAAAATAGACCAAATACCAGCCTATGTAATATGTTTAAGTAAATGCAAAAGAAATGATATTATCCCACATATGTTATCTGACCATAGTGCAATGAAAGTGTAAGTTAATGAAAAAAGAAGCCACAAAGACTCCATAAATACATGGAAATTAAATAACACCCTCCTGAACAACCAGTGGGACCCAGATGATACTAAAGAAGAAATTAAACAATATGTGCAATTAAATGAAAATGCAGATACAACATACTGGACCCTATGGGATGCAATGAAACCTGGCCTAACAGGGAAATTTATAGCAGTGAATTCTCACACCAGGCAAGCATAACAAACACAAATAAACAACCTAATGTTGCACTTGAAAGTTTTAGAATAAGAAGAGCAAGTCAAACCCAAAGCCTGTACAAGAGCAAAAACTATAAAGACCAGAGAAGAAATTAATTCTCCTCCCATTTTAAATTATTTTTGACAGATTATTACATACCAGTTTGACATGTATCTCTTATTAAAAGTAGTTGGAGCACTAGAAAAAGACATATCTGAATCTGAAGGAAAAGCTTATTGTTAGAAACAATCTCAGTTTATATTGCAGAAGATCTGTCTATCTAGAAGAACATTCAATGTATCATGAGATTAGCAATTATAAATTGTCATAGCCATATGAAAATCCATATATACTTTCAATATATCATCAGATTAACAATAATGAATTGTCATAGCCATATGAAAACTTTGATTTAATTATTGTATCAAGAGCATCTTTGAATGAGAAAATGCTTTATTTCTAGAACATTGAACTTCTTGACAACGACTAACATAAATGTATAACAACAAATTATTTAGCAATGTATATTGGGGTGTCTCCCATTGGGCTATGGAGATCACTGGGATCCCATGAATGAACAA